GCTACCCCAGGCCGGCGGGGACCCACACAAGACCTGGGGAGGAAGTGCCCTCCCGCGGCGTTTCCGTGAGGTCGCGCCCGCCGCAGCCCAGGTCGCCACACTCCTGCAACGGCACACCCCGCGCCGCGCGGCTGTCTCCACTCTAACCCCGCCCCCATCCCGCCCACCGAGGCCAGGCTCGACCAATCCCGTGCGCCATCAGGAGCAGCCCGGCGCGGTCGGGTTACGTCACCTACTACTTACGTCACTGCTGGTGAGCTGTCTCATTTCCGGCGCGCGGTGAGCTGTGGGAGTGGTGCGCCGTGGCCCACGTTGGGGGGCTTTTCACACCGGGTGGGGGTGAGAGGCGCGGCTGCTCAGGCGCCTCGCAGGTCTCTGCGTCAGAATTTCCCCCTCGCGCCAGCGCTGCCTCAAATGTCAGGGCTCGCCCACTCTTCCCGGGTTTCGGCGACCTAACCTTTTGGGGGCTCCAGAGGGGAAATTCGCCGAGCCTGCCGGACTTCTCCAGGACGTGAGAGACATTCATAGGAGACCTCAAAGGCACCTCCTAGGCCCAGTGTCTCAGCTTAAATTTTTCCTAATCAGAGAAGGTAGAATACAGGTTAAAAAAAAAATGATGTCAACTTCCCCAAGGCACTTGAAATTTCACATCTTACGTTCATCAAATGCTTTTGATGTAAGAAATAAGGAATTGGTCGAAATAGAAATAAGAAATTGGATGATCGCCGTGTAGAACTGCAGTGGTCCATTAATGCATTCGTCTATAGCAGTAAAGAAAACCCGCCAAATAGTAAGGGGTGAAATCAGCAAGTAGTGACCAAGCACCAGCTGGGTGCCCGGGCGGTCTAGACACTTGAGGATTCAGCACTGACCAAGATAGAATGGGAAAGTCCCCTCCTGGTGTGCACAGGACCGGGGGAGACAGGCAAGACGTAAAAGGAGATGAGTGCTGTCAGCCGGGCAGGAGTGGAGAACCATGGAGTGCTTATTTAGCAAAGTGAGATGCCCGATGGAAGAGTGGCTCGTAAAAATTTGCCTGGCAAGCGCAGGGTCCTGAGTTCAATCCCCTGAACCGAAAAAAAAAAAAAAAAAAAAAAAAATAGTGAAGAACCTGGTAGCTCCTTCACTAGGATGACTGGGATTGTGCTAGGTCGGGGCCATCGGTGGTGGTTGCCGCTGTGGTAATGCCAAGTGTCCAGCTCCCTGAGGCGCAACAATAGCTGTTCCTTATGTGTTAGATTTACTGTCTCACTAAACTGAAGGCCTTTGAAACCAGGGAAAGTTTTGAGTCTGTACTTCCCATAATGCATAAACACTTTGTCACATATTGAGTAAAAAAGGTAGTGGACAGGATGGTGTGATTCTAGAAATAGAGGGCTGCGCCAGGAGGTGTCTGCATTGCCAGTACAAAAGCAACGTCTTTTGGTAAATGGTTGGATTTGGGGGACTGTGTTCTGTAAGTGTGTGATGACAGAAGTATCTCAACTATAAAGAAAGTGTCACGAGTGTGAGTGGCATTATTATTAACACTAATAGTCAGCGGCGGGTAGAGTGTGAAATTCGGCATGAGAATATCTGAATCTGACCAGGGCTGCAGGGCCTTATACAGTCATTTCACCCTCTGGACCATGATCTTTGCCTCTGTAAGATGAAAAGTATAGTAATACCTTGCAGAAAGTATGTAATGTCTAAAGCCAATACATGAGAAAGAAAATATTAGCCTACTGTTAAAAGTACCGAGGTAATTACTGAGAAATTATTATTATTGGCTTTTTGAGACAGAGTCTCACTATGCAGTTCAGGCTGACCGTGACTTCACTTTATAGCTCAGTCTGGGCTCAAAGTGATCCTCCTGCCTCAGCCTCCGATTGCTGGGGAACAAGAAATAAGTTAGAGCTGAAAATCTTCGCTCTGGGGAGGAGAACTGAGAGTCAGGAAGTGCACACTCCGAGGCTGCTGCTGGGTGAGTCAGCTCTGCTCCGCAGCAGCCGGGTGATTCTGTTTCAGGTTCCTTGTGTCCAGCGTGGCTGGGGTGGCTCTGTTCCAACTGCGATCGTGCTAGAGCCCAGGGCTGTGGTGGCAACTTCCCTGGGGAGGATTCCTCGGGCAGTTCAAAGGTGTGAAAGCCTAGGCCTGATCAGCAGGTGCCTACTGTGCAAGGCTTTGATCAGTCCTCTGTTAATGTCCCTTTGGCCAAAGCCCAAAGTTACGGGGCAGAAAGTCCACTCACCCAGGCAGAGGGAGGGAGAGCGAGTGCTTCTGAAAAGTAAGTCAGTCGACTTATATTTGAGTTGTCCAAACTTGGTGCAGTGTATGAATTTCCTCATACTTAAGGCCAACTCAGATCCATTTCAGTTCTTGATGGTGAACACGTACGTCCTCTGAAAATACAAGCTTACTTCCAGAGCCGGAACAAAACAGCTTGTCTTGGGCTGGGAAGATAGCTCAGTGGTGTCAGCCACCAAAACCAGGCCTGATGGGTGATGGCGCACACCTGTAATCCCAGCACGAGGAGGCTGAGACAGAGGAGGATCACTACGAGTCGAGCTGGGTAGGGAGACCCTGTGCCAAATAAGTGATTTAAAACAAAAAAACCAAAAACTCACCTTGTCTTTTAGTTTTCCTTCCATCTACTAAATCCTTCCTGTTTGTTTTTGTTTTGAGACAAGGTCTCACTGTGTAGTTCAGGCTGGCCTTTAACTCACTCAAGGTGTTGCCTGCTTCCTTCCCAAAGAGCCAAAGGGGAAGTCATTCTGGAATTGAATTCTATAATGTTTCTTAGGCTATCAAATGATAGTTTTGAGCATCTTTCAGACTTTTGCACAAGTACAGAGTGTCACATACATAACTTTACAACTTTTAAAATGAAATACAGGGGCTGGTGAGATGGCTCAGTGGTCTAAAGCACCTACTTAGAACGAGCTTAGCAAAGCACAGGGACCGTGGTTCAATCCCCCAGCACCACATGCCAGCCAGCCCCGCCCCCTGGTGGGCTGAGCTGGCCACACACACACAATATAAATAAATAAAATAAATAAATTTTAAAAAAAAGCTTAAAAAAATAAAATGAAATACAAAGCACTGTTTGGTCTCATATTGCTGGCGACAGTGCTAAGTGGTTCAGCTTGTACGCCCTCCTCACTTCTGGGAATTTACCTTCCATCTGCTTGCACAAGTAGGTCGTGAATATAAAGTTATTCAGCTCAGAGGTGTCTGTACAGAAAATGATTGGAAGTACCCTATGTTATCAGTGAGCTGTGGGTAACTAACCTGTAGAACAGGCCCACAGGGCATTCTGTGGCAGAGAAGGATTCTTTCTGATATGGAAGGATTCCAAGATGTTCATGTGATACATGTACACAGGTGTAGGGGAAAGTTCAGAACACAGTGTAGAGGGGTATTTATTTATTTACTTATTCTTTTTGGGCATTTCATTATGCAGTTTGGGCTGACCTCAAACTATGCAATCCTCCTGCCTCAGCCTTCTGAATGCTGGGATTACAGGTGTTCACCAATATGCCCAGTACAGTCTACATTTTTATTCAAGAGAGGAAAATAATAGCTGTATTTACAAAAAGAAGTACAGGAAGGGAGTGCAAAAAAGGTTGTTACCTGTAGGAGGTGGGGATGGACACAGTGACCATGGGGATAGACATCTGTTCAGTGTAACTCTTATTATCTTGGTTTTTGAAACTATCAACTGTATGAATGGTCACACTGAAGGCAGTGGCACATGCCTGTAATCCCAGCAGTATGGGAGGCTGAAGCAGGAGGGTCCCAAATTGGGCAAGTGAGTAAGACACTCAAAAAATAAAAAGCGTTGTAGATGCAATTTACTGCAAAGGCCCTGAGTTCAATCCTCAATACTGGAAAAAAAAAAAAAGTATTAATATGGAAAATTTTTAAAGAAATAAATTAGGTAATGTACTAAATTTAATCCATTAAGTACTTCTTACATTTATCTGCTAGCATTGCTTTAATCCTTAGGCGCAGCAGCAGCAGAACCTTTGCTAGTCAGTATAGATATTCCTCGTTAGACTACCCTGTTTTTCTTGGTACGGTACACCTTGTTTCATACAACACTGTATGATTTTACTGTACACTCTAGTGTAGTTTTACATTATTATACATTACGCTACCGCGTGTAAGCGTTAAGGAAATGAAAGTAAACAAATTGGAGTTTCCTTGACCATCTGTTTTGAGTACTGTAATGTACGGAACTGTACACGATTCCTCATTTACCGACCAAGTGGCAGGAACAGAGCATTAGGGAATGCCTGCGCTGGGGACTGAGCCCAGGTCTTTGCACTACGCTACATACAGAGCCCGCCCTGAGCTTGGACCTACGATCCTCGCGCCTCCGCCTCCCCGTGTGCTGGCTCACAGGCGTGCACCACGCACTGCCTCTGATGACTGAGCAAGCGCTGGACAGAGTCGCCCGACACCTGGCGACCAAGTGTCGGGACCCCTAGGGCCAGGATGACCGGAAAGAAGGGTCCTAACAGATGTGCGGAGACCGTACAGAAAATGGGAACTAAGGGAGCCGGGAGTGCGCAGAATGAATGCGGAGCCGCTCCTCCTCCGCCGCCGCCGCCGCGCCCTCGCCGGGAGCAATTGACACCCACTATGCTCCTGCAGGGCGGGACCGTGCCATTCTCCGAGCGGCGCGGGGGAGGAATTCGTACGTCTCCTTCCCCCGCAGTGCGGGGGTGAGCTCGGCCGGAAGTGACGCACCGTAACCCGGAAGCGGCACGAGACTGCGTAGTGCGGCGCTGAGGGACGGGTGGGCGGTGCATGCGCGTCCCGCTTTAGGTTGTCGGGGTGAGTGGTCTCCGGCCGCGGGACCCCCACGGGTGAGCGTGAAGGGGCGCGAGTTGCAGGTCGGCCCCGCGTGCGCGTGGGGCGGCGCGCGGGCCGCAGGCTTGACGGGCCCCGCAGGGTTCCGGCTCCTGCCGGCGCCGTGGCCTGTCTCCCCGGAGTCGCGACGCCGAAGCGTCAGAAGTCTGCGCCGCAGCTCGCCGGCTCGGAGCTCGCCGTTTATTGAAGTCGTTTTATTGAAGCCAGTGGTGCACGCAGGGCAAACCCTGCAGAGAGAAGTAGGCTGAGAGCGATGTGGCTGTGCGCAGAGCGCTAGCGTGGGCGCTGCAGGGAGGAGAATTTCTATCCCAGTAAAGGCGGCTCAGATACCTAATAGCCCCGCCGCCCAAAATGTTAGTGGTTTTTAGCACTAAAGAAAAATGCCCTCCAGAACCCTTGGGAGGCCGTTGCAAGAAAGCTACTTGACGTTTCGCCTGGGCGTTGTGTGAAGTGCAACATCTGCATACTTGTGTTTTAGGGACCTTCGTATTGAACAGATTTTTAGATATTAGGTTTGAGAAAATGCAGTAAAAGAAAACAATATTAACACACATTAACAACCTTACTGTTCTCATCTTAGAGCAATTGAAACGGCTGTGTATGCCAATATTAACCTAGAATGCCGTGTTCCATGTTTATGGGAACTTTCCCTAGGAGGCAGTTTGCTTGAAAAGATTCTGACAGAATGTTTGGATAACATTAAATGTTTGTATATTCTAGAATTTCACTGAAAACATGAAGTATCTTTCTTCCTTTCCATTTTTTTGTTTAAAGATTTTTTAAAAGTGCAACGTAAAAATGGCTTCAAAGAGAGCCCTGGTCATCCTGGCCAAAGGAGCTGAGGAGATGGAGACGGTCATCCCCGTGGACGTCATGCGCCGCGCTGGGGTAAGACCCCTGCTATTTCCCAGGCCTGTAAGGCGTGTTGAATAAAACAGTATTTAGAGTACAGTAGAATACATTGAATATATACGACACTACAATGATGATGTAATAATAAGTGTTCACTGCCCCTGTGTAGTACACATTTTGCCTTTTTCTGTTTTTACATTTTGCCCTCTTTCAGACCCTTTCTTTCCCTTCCTTCCTCATTCCACTCTTCTCTACTTCCTTGCTGTCCCACCATTTGCCCATCTTGGGTTAGTGTTTCCCTCTCTTGCCCAGGTTGGCCCTGAGCTCCTGTGCTCAGATGATGCTCCTGCCTCAGTCTCCCGTAGCTGGTACTACAGATACATGCCACTGTGCCCAGCCTCAGACTCGCTCCTTAAAGAGCAAGTGCTTTTAAAGAAACACTCAGGACTAGGAAAAAAGGGAAAGAGATTACTCTTGACGTCCCCTTTGTAAATGTTGCCAGGCCTTTGCCCCTCAGGTCAGCCCGCCTCCTCGCCTGTGTGTGTGTGGACCCGAGGGTGCCTGTTGTGGGTGTTTAGCTGTGTCCTACATGCTCTTCACATCTGTGCCCAGCACAATAGCAAGTGCTTCAGCACTTCACTAAGTGTGCCAGGCTGCATTCCGATCACTTCTGCTAACCTTGCAACAACTCTGAGAGTTAGGTATTGAGGAAACTGAGGCACAAAGCTACTAAATGCTTTGAGAAGAGCCAGAACATAGACCCAGGCCTAGTCTATTTGTACGTTGCTGGTACACAGAAATCAAAATCTTTCTTGATATTGCTGCTTAATTCTGTATTGTGTGAACATGCCCCATCCCATCTAGCCCAGTGGTGCTGTAATACATTTTGGTTTTTGCTTTTGCTGCTAAAGATTAAACCCAGATACTTGCGCACACTGAGCACACACTGTACCCTGGGCTGTGTTCCCAGCGCCAGCAGTACTCTTTACAGCTTTCCTTGTGCAAATGTATCTTAAGTTATTTTAGGTTCTGTACCTAAAAGAGTTGTAGTCACCTCAAGGGGGTGTATGGTCACCATCGCTAGATTTTGCCAAGTTGCCTTCCAGGGCCAAGCAATCTTTTCCAGCAGCAGAAGGATAGGAACATTTCCTGTTTTCCAGATCACCTCATGGTATCATCACCTTTTTTGACATTTGCAAGATAATGTGGTATTTTATTGCTTTAACTTGCATTTCTATCTTTGGAAAGTACAGTGAGGTTTAAATGGCAACAGTGACCTTATAGGATGGGTTATTATTAGGATGATCATGTAATTAATCTCCCAAACCAGAACTCTTACGGGAGAACGGCTGTGGGGACAGACCTAGTTAGTAAATAGATTTATCTAGCATGGTAGCTTAAGTTCATCATTATTTTGTCACAGTATTTCCTGCCAAGTTATTTTAAAACACATGTAAGCTATGAAAATGTCAACTCTTCAAATCTGTGTTTCTGCCTTCCTAAATGTCACCGTGTCTTTCCTTAGATTAAGGTCACTGTGGCAGGTCTGGCTGGGAAAGACCCGGTACAGTGTAGCCGTGATGTTGTCATTTGCCCTGACACAAGTCTGGAAGAGGCGAAAAAGGAGGTTTGTTCTCCATCCTTGAAGTTTTTCCTCTGCATGTTTTTCATTAGTTTCCTAACGAATTGAAGTCTGTGCTACAGACTTACTTAGAAACGTGCTTCGCTGGGGTATCTTCCCCACTGTGCTGGCAGGCCAGGAACTTTGCATTCTTCGCTGCGTCCGTGGGACTTGGCCTCTGCCGGGCACCACAGTGTGCTCAGTAAATGGGTGCTGGGAAGCTGGGGGGTTTCGGGGGGTGCCAGCTCTGTCACCAGTATTCTGGTTTGCAAAGTCACCCTTGCTTCTGATAAAAATTATTTTCATGTAATTCAAGAATTAGCTGTTCCATTTTTTACTTATTTTTAATTCCTATTTCTAGTGTTTGATTTTTTTGAGACAGAAGTCACTAAGTTACCTAGGGCACAGACAGAATCCTGCTTCAGCCTCCCAGATTGTCGGGATGGTAAGGGTGCACCACCATGCCGGCTCCCTTCATCCTGCTCTTGAAGCTGCTCTTTACCTGTGTCCCCTCAGTGGCACAGAACAGGTGTGTGAACCACTGGATGTAGAACAACTCATACTTGATGAGTGGCTGGATTGAGGAGGGCTGAGAGTTCTGCTTCTATACAAAAAAGGGCCCGCCCTCACATTTGAATTCTTGAAAACTTTTTTTTTTACATTGTATTTGGTACAGGGTCTCACTACATAGCTCAGACTGGTGGTGATCCTCCTGTTTTCAGCCTCCCCAGTGGTGGGATTACAGGCATGCGCCCCCATGCTCAGTCTCAGTGGCCAGCTCAGCGTGTGGTGCCAGGGATTGAACCTCAGTGGAATTCTTGAAACTTACTAATAGCCTGATGGAAGCATGAAGTAGAAGGAAGTATTCCCTCTACTCAGTTTTTGCCCCACAGTATCTGGGTGTTTTAGATCAGTGGCTACCTTGTGTAGGTATTTGTTAAATTCAAATTCTGAAAGTATTAAAAGAAATTCAGGGCTGGTGAGATGGCTCAGTGGTCTAAAGCACCTACTTAGAACAAACTAAGCTAAGCAAAGCACAGGGACCGCGGTTCATTCCCCAGCACCACATGCCAGCCAGCCCCGCCCCCTGGTGGGCTGAACTGGCCACACACACACAAAATATATAAATAAATAAATAAATAAAAATTAAAAAAAAAAAAAGAAATTCACCCTTCACACCACATTCTCTTTCTTAATGTCCACCCCCCAGGATCGTTGAGCTATCTCCCAGGCCCTTGATCCATTTTTCTGTTCACAGTTTTCTTCATTTTAAAACAAACAGCAGGGCTGGGGAGATAGCTCAGCAGTCTAAGTGTCTTCAGTTTCTACTTTCTGATCTCACCAAGCTTGAAATTAGATTTATCTGGGAATGTTTCAGTGTTTGGGACACTTAAGTATCATTTTTTTTTCTTCTCTCACCAAGTTCTGTTTTTCTTAAAGTTCAAAGTATTTTAGGGCCGGCCAGATAGCTCAGCAGACTAAAGCACCTGCTTAGGCAGAGTGCAGCGGCTGGGGGTTCTATCCCTAGTGTGTCATGCCAGCCCTGCCCCCGGGGTGCAATGAGACATTGATTGAGACTGGGAGTGGTGGTGCATGCCTGTAATCCCAGCGCTTGAGAGGCTAAAAACAGGAGGATCACTCCAAGTCAAAAAAAAAAAAAAAAAAGTTCGAAGTATTTTTCTTATGCTTCTTACTTAAAATTTGTTTTTGTTCAGTTTTAGAAATGGCTACCTTTATTCCTGTTGCAGGACAATTCATACAACATAAACATAAGTGTAAAATCAAAGAGATGAATGCGTGTTTCTTTTCTCATCGCTGACATCCAAAGTTAAAGGGGAAAAGGTTTATTTAGCTCACAGTATAGAGGTTTCAGTCCATCATTGGTAGGCACCAGGCAGGTGGCTTGGCGGAGGGCTGTGGCAGAGGAGAGACAGTTCGTGGTAGGCAGAAGCCAGCAAAAGCAAGCGAGCAAGCAGGGGACCTTAGCAGCTTTTTTCTGACCCTTTGATACTCTGTCTAGACCACTGCGATGAAGGTAGTGCCAGACTTGTCAAGTGACCAATTTAGTAACCTTGTACTCTAAAACTCAGCACATCCTGAAAAACAAAAATATTTTACAGTTTGACAGTAATCTGAGGTTCCAAATGAATACAGATGTTTAAAGTACACAAGTGGATGTGCTGAATAAGAGTGACATATGGATTATAATAAAAGTAGAAAAGTAGGATCACAAGTCTGCATCTTGTACAGCAATTAACCACTAAGAAGAATATATGCAGTGTATTATTTGTTGAAACTGTACTTTTGATTTGATTTGAAACTGTCTCATTGCTATCTGTTTATCAATAAAACTTTGAAAAGAAAAAAAATAAAATAAAACTCAGCATCACGTTTTGAATCAGTCACACTAGATCGGCCCCTTGCTGGATAAGCCCTGCCCATGACTGCTTCAGGCTGGGGGGCTTAGGGGGAATCCAGACACAGCCAGAACAGCGTCCCTTTGTCCCCTAGCATGTCCCGGGTCTCTACTATAGTCAACATCCCTTGGTCTGTGAGAATTGGTAAGGTAGTACTTACACACATGTGTACATACAGTGTACACATGTTGCTGCTGCTCAGGCTGGTCCTGAACTCCTGGGCTTAAAAAAATCCTCTGGCTGGGGCCGGGGAGATAGCTCAAGTGGAATAAGCGCTTCCCTGGCAAGCACAAGGGCCTGAGTTCAATCTCCAGTTCCACAAAAAGAAAAAAAAAATCCTCTGTCCTCAGTCTCTTGAGTAGGTAGGGCTATAGACACAAGCCACTGTCTGCATATTTTTGTCTTTATGAGTGATTTTTATTACATTTGATGCTTTGTCATGTGCTACTGTATCCAGATTTCCTGCATTTTTTTGCTAACTATGAAAACATTCCATGATTGGGATACCTTAGTCTGCTTAACTATTTTTTTGTTTGGTGGTTGTTTTTGGTTTGTTTAGGGGTCCAATGCCAGGGCCTTCTGATGTTAAAGCACGTGCTCTGCCACTTCCTAACTGTTCTTTAATCCAGGGTGCTTGGATTATCTTTTGTATTTTGCTTGTGATTTAGATGCAAATATTCAGACCATTGCTTCAGTACCCTTTTGAAATTAAATGTTCTCCTCTTGTTCCCACTGTGCCAGGGCCCCTATGACGTGGTGGTTCTCCCTGGAGGCAACCTGGGTGCACAGAATTTGTCGGAGGTAAGCCCCCACCCCCTTGCTTCCACGTCACAGAGCAGGCAGGAAAACTCGAAGCACTCCTGAGCGCATGTGCTGCTGGGTGGGTCATTCCCTGCTGTCTGGGGAGGCCATGAGCGGACAAGGAAGAGCAAAAGTTAACCAGGTGGGTTCTAGAAACCAATTGGGGTAACACTTATCCCAGAAATCAGCTGAATTTCTAGAAGAGTCATTGCATGGGTGAGCACGGTCCAAGGTAGGAGGTGAACAGCGTCCCTGAATGCCACAGGGTGACACGATTTTATGATGGGTCAGTTTAGATCAGAAGTCGGTAGACAATGGGGCCATGGGGCCGAGAGGAGACAGATGGCACAGGACACTGGGGACACGTAGGCCTCTGCCCCAGGAAGACGCAGGTCCCTCCCTTTTCTTGTCTTTTCACATTGATGGTGTAGCAGTATTTCTGGCAAGTAGATTGAAGTTGTTGTAGTTTAAGCTAAAAGCAGCCAGCGCCCCACGAGAGCCCACTCTGTCCTCGTGGTGACTGGCTGTGCTTCGGTTTCTCTGCCCAGTCGCCAGCCGTGAAGGAGATCCTGAAGGAGCAGGAGGGCAGAAAGGGTCTCATCGCCGCCATCTGCGCAGGTAATGTGCTGGACTCGCCCTGGCCCCTTGCCGAGGCTGCTGCCTGCAGGAAGCTCGAGCATCCACGTGTGGGTTCAGTCTGGGTGACGTGAGGGGTGCCATGAGGTCGTGCCATCTCAGCAGTAGGCCCTCTCTCCCACTCTGCTGTGCCCTTGGTCTGCATCTGTGAACCGCCCTCTCAGCGTGTCTGACCTCGGAGGAGGGTGGGGGCCTCTGGAATTCATTAAACAGCTGGTGCCGCAGATCTTGCTGCCAGGAAGCCTGGCTGCCAGCACACAGGTCAGCAAGAATCCACCCCCGCCCCGAGCCGGGCCCTGGGACTCCCTCCTGCCTGCGCCTGGTGTCCCTGCCTCTCCGTGCGAGAGGCCCCAGGCCTTGCTCTTCAGCTAAAGGTCTTCAGTGTCCACAGGTGTCTGAGGCTGGGCTTGGTCTGTTTTCTGGTACCATCTGGTCTGTCCTGTTCCTTCATGTCAGTACAGTAGGGTTTTCAGGAGAAGTGAGCCAGGCCTTTGCGTTGGAGCGGCAGCGCTGCATTCTGGCAGGAGACACTGCTCATTGCCGGGTCCTTGATGTCATCATGTGAGTCGGTTGGCGCTGTCTCCTAGGCAGGGCACGGAGCTCTGGCAGTCTCGTGTTTCCCCCTGGCCAGTTTGGGGCCGGGTGCGCTCAGCGTAGAGGGTGAGCATAGCACGTGTGAGCGCCTGGGTTCGGCCCCAGCGCCCTACCAGCAGAGCTCCCAGCAGCCTTTTCTAGTGGCAGGAGGTGACTGGTGTAAGCCCACGAGAGCTACTGTAGGAGAGGCTGGGAAGGATCCTGAGGTGACCACTGTGGCCGGCCTCTTGCTGCGCCTGGGACCCTGCATCCCCAGCACCACCGCTCTGGGGACAAAGTCTGGGGTCCCCCCTTGGAAACAGGGCTCCTTCCCCTTTCCTTCGACCAAAGGAAAAAAGCAAGGGTTTGCCTGGGTTGCTTCCCTTACAATTCTATTGACATGAAGACCAGGAACACTTTGTTTTTAAGTATCACTGAGACACTAAGTGGCATTCGCACTGCACCCACCATCCCATGCCCTAGACAGGAAAGAGAGGATGTTTGCCGCACCTTTACGCAGCAGTGGCCCCACAGCCTGCTTCTGTGTGAGAGCTGAGAGGAGAGGGGTGCACGGCGTGCAGGCAAGGGGGTGGCACCAGGCAGACTGAAGAGACTGAGGGGCCAGTTACCCGAGCCTTCTGACGTTTTTACAGTGGGAGCTGGAAACAATTTTGCCATTTCAAAACATGGCAGCCCCTGATACTGAGGGAGTTAGAAACAGATTGCAGGGGAGGCTTTCCTGAGCAGGTCCTGTCCAGGGCAGGGATAGGTTGGCCCTGCCACAGCCCAGAGTTGGCCTGGCGCTCATTCTCTCCACGTCCACTGGGTGGCGCTGCGGGTGAGGATTCTGCTCACTCTAAGCCTGCTGCTGGCTCAGCATTGTTCGGAGGGCTCCATGGGAACCTACAGTCGTGCAAGAGGAGTAGCTCCTCTTCCCAGGTGGGGCTCTAGGGTTCTCAGCTGCAGTACGCGGCAGTCACGAGCTTACCCAGTAGTGTCGCTGGAGGCAGCAGCATTACCACCCTCAGGAGCAGCCTGAGCACTCCTGCCTCACCGTGGTCCCCTCCTCATGGCACGGTCAGCCTGGAGCACAGCTTCAGAGTGAGGCAGTGTGGGTTCCTCAGTCCTTCATAGGAACTAGTGAGGTGACTCATGCATCCACGCAGTAAAAACTGAGTGATGGCTTGAAAGTTACTGCCGCATACGACTGTGTTGTGTGTAGAAGGGAAGTGGAGACTGTTTGGTTTGGTTTTGTTGAGACAGGGTCCTGCTGTGTAGTTCAGGCTGGCCTTGAACTCACTTTGTAGCCCAGGCTGGCCCCTCAGCTCATAGCAGTCCTCCTGCCTCAGCCTCTCAGTGCTGGGATCACCTGGCCTAGACACTTTTAAATGTTGCACCCAGACTTGGTCTGAGGCAGACACTTGCTACAAGGCAGAGAGCTTCGGTTCTGGTGCTCTTGGTTTGGTCCTGGTCTGCTGGAACGCAGTCTGAGCAGCGTAGGGCCGTGGCTGCTGTGTCCTAGGACTACGGGCCGGGCCAGCAGGTTTACCGGAGCCGTAAGCACACACACCATCATCCTCCAGCTGTTCCAGCCCCAGTGCAGGCTGCGGCCAGGAACGTACGCCTCCATCTGAGATAATAAGGCACAAGAAAAACCCTGGCAGCTTTCAGATAAGGTAATGACTATAATGTTTTTAGTCTGAGGAATGTTATGGTAGGTATCTGTTGTGATGGTCCGTGAGGCTGACCATTATCAGTGAATATGTGGGCTGCACACCTGGGCTAGTGATGCTCCACTATTCTAAAGACTTCAACTGAAGAGAGGGCACGAGCGCCACAGGTTGACCTTCTGCGTGCTTCTGTGCTCAAGCAGGCTTCACACAGTCACGTGTGCCTTTGTTTCTCAGACTTCAGCGCTAATTGCCCAAATTTCTCCTTCCAGGCAGCGTGCTGTTCTTCTTAATACCCTACTGCTCAGTGTGTTTGGATGGATGGATAGATGTTCATGTTCTACTTTCAACTAGGATGGTAAAATTGTAAAGGAGAAATAAAGTGCAGAAGTTAAGAGTGCCTGTCCTCGCGCTGGGAGGAGGTGGCACCCAGTGTGCCCCAACTTCGGCCTCCCTGTGCAGGGTGCTGGTGCCTGCGTGTGCCCATGGGTGGCAAGGGAGAGCTTTGATTAGATGGTGTTGAAGTGGTTTGAGTTCTTGCAGAGCTTAGCCAGGTGTGCGCAGCAGGTGCTTCTAAAGACTATACTCCTCGTTTCAAAGAGGGTTTCATTTCAGAAGCAGAATCTTTACCTGAGTGCCTCTTGGTTTGAAAGACTGCTTCTCCTGCTGCAGTTTTGAAGCTTGGGTTTCTCTGCGTCTGCACTCAGATCTTCTTATTAATCTTATTTTTAGGTCCTACAGCTCTGTTGGCTCATGAGATAGGCTTTGGAAGCAAAGTTACAACACACCCGCTTGCTAAAGACAAAATGATGAATGGAAGTAAGTATATGCTGCGCCTTCACGCACAGAGGGCCCTTCTCACAGCGCTGTCATTAGCACGCTTTCCTGGGCAGGGTAGCGCAGCGCGTGGGCTCCTGGGTGCACCCTGGGAGGGGCTCAGCCTGGCTGGGCTGGGCTGCCTGCCTCTGACTGCCCAAATGGAAGGTGATCGCAAAACACCAGTTTAATTAATGTTCTTTCTGAGCACTTTGTCAGCAGCCTAGGGTAAATTTTCAACCCCGACAGTAGATTCAGAAAGTGCCCTTTCACCCAAGGTCCAAAGAAAAGGCTGAGCGTGGCCTCCTCCCTGTGGACAGACACGTTGCCCGCACACATGCCAGCAAAGCCATGGATTTCCAGAGTTGCTTTTATAAAAAGCAGGCTCAGTTCCTGGTAAAACCTGTGACCTGTGGGGAAGGGTGACGTGAAAGGCTGGGCTCCTCTCCTCCTGGCCATCCCCCCTCTTGTCACAGGTGACATCTGGGAGCTCTGCAACTTTCTCTGTACACAGTGCACCTCCTTTTTAATATTTTTATTCAGATGAGGTCTACTGAGTGCTTCGGTCTGCCGCTTGGTTTCATTGTTTGAGATGGGCTCTGGCTGTGTTGCCCAGGCTGGCCTTGACCTTGACCTCAACCTTGACCTCAGGTTCCAGGGGTCCTCCTGCCTCAGCCTCACGGGAGCTGGGAGGGCAGGCGCATGTGTGCCTTCTACGCAGCTGCAGCATGCTCTCTTTTTTTTTTTTTTTTCTATTTTTGCGTTACCAGAGAACAGCGTGCTCGTTCATCTTAGGTCTGTTTTACCCACTGGCTGTGGGGCTGTGGCAGGGCCCTTAATCTCTCAGAGCCTGAGTTTCCTCATGTGTCCTTTGAGGGTCATTGCCTGGCGTTGGCAGTTAATGACGGTGCCCTGAAGGCTGCCTGGTCTGGGGCTTGCTGGGAAGTGGGGTCTCACTCCTACCACCAACATGAGGGGCTGTCCTGGACACAGGGCAAAGGCTGCCCGTCCCAGCTACTGTCTGGAGTGACTGACGTTAGGGACTCAGGAGGCTCAACTGCTGAAGGGCAGACCTGGGATTTGAGCCGGGAAGCTCTGTTTGGGGTCAGCTGGCATCTCCCCATGGCCAGCTGGCGCGAGTCTCGGCCCCTGGGGCTTCAGGTCCAGGCGGCCACTGGTAGCTGTCCAAGTTCCAAACAGGTCTGGGTGTTCCGTGCCATTGCGGACAAACCCAAGCAGCGGCCTTTAGTCATTGACCCCTTGTCCGTCCCTAGCTGTGCCACTGGATTTTTCTCTGTAGAGGTTTCCTGGCTTTGGGATCTTTGCCTAAAGCTTTAAAAAAAAAAAAAAAAAAAAATTAAATCTAGGCCTTGTGCTACTTGGTGCATGAAATGTAGAACACGTGGTTGCTTCCACCTGGGTGCCTGTCTCAGGCTTGGTTTGGGCTTCCTCTTGCATGCTGTTCTTCGTCATGGCCAGTAGGTGGCGAGGTTGGCCAGTGTAAGCCTCTTCCCAGTTCCAATCAGGAAGGAATTTTAAGCCCATTTGGCCAGCTTTGGCTCTGCCTGTACGGTGTTACCTGCAGAGTTGTTGCCGGGGAGCCTTTAATGTTTTCCCTGCCTTGCCCTCCACCCCAGCTGCCCACGGCCTGCTCTGGGTTCCTAGCTCAGCACTGAACCTGTCCTGGCTGAGTTTGGCCATCAGCAGGGGAGGGGAAGAAGACTGACCCTTGCCAGCCAGGACCCTTCTGTTTCCTGTAGTAGCCTGAGCAGGAGGTTCTTGGTGGCTCCCCGGTGAGCTGGCGGGACATGAGCCCCTGTGGGCACAAGGAGTCCACCTTGGAAAGAAAGGGACCCGAGGGCATGACTTGGAAGCACCTTGCTCTGCTTGTAGGGCTTGGGCGGGTTTTCTGTTTGGCTCCCTGGAACAGGGCTCTGAGCATCCCACGGGTGGCCTGGAATGTGCCCGTGTGGTGTTCTGGCTCAGCTGAAGGGGGCAGGGTGGGCCCATGCTGGGCCTGGGCTGGGCGCCCTGGTGTCCTCTGAGTCTGCCCCTTGCGGAGTGGGTCACCATCACTGTCACCAGCGGCTGAGAGGTGAGCTCCATGCTGTCTCTGCCTGGCTACTCCCCGAGATCTGGCACTTCGTCCCTCAGCTCAGTCTCAGACCTTCACCCCTGTAGCTGCTTTGCAGCGGGCCTCCAGCCCTCGCTGGACAGGGTCCTCTCTCTGCAGCCGGGACTGGGGGTGGGGGTGGGGGTCGGAGCTCTGCGCTCACCTTCCTAGTCACCAGGCAGGTTGGGGCCAGGAACCTGCCAGAGCAGGTGGGAAGCAGGGCGGAGACTGAGTCACGGAGCCCTTCACATAGGGCAGGTGGCAATGGGGAAGACCACCCTGGAGTGTGGCCGCAGGAGGGAAATCAGGCTGGCTGCCAAGGGTGGAAGACTTGGGGACAGTCCCAGTGTGCTGGGTGGTCCTGGGAAGAGCCAGGAGCCCCTGGGAAGACCCGCCTTGCTGAAGCTTTTGGGCTCCTGAGCTCCAAGCACCTGGGTGGTCACATGGTCACCTCATGGCCTGGGCACCATGAGTTTTTTCGTGGCCAGCCACATAGGGAGGTGACCCCAACAGTGCTGGGATGGTGACTGGTGCCATGTGGTGGCATTGCTGGTGCTGCCCACCAGGATGAGACCTCCTCTTTCCACTGCAGATCATTACAGTTACTCTGAGAGTCGTGTGGAGAGGGACGGCCAGGTACTCACCAGCCGCGGACCAGGTACCAGCTTCGAGTTCGCGCTGGCCATTGTGGAGGCACTCAGTGGCAAGGAGGTGGCGCAGCAGGTGAAGGCGCCCCTTGTGCTCCGGGACTAGCGCCATGCTGGGAGCAAGGTGGATGAGGCTGATGGTCTACCAGGGTCTGAGCCCCACACGCAGCTCCCCAGCCACCAGCAGAGCCCTGCACCTGCCGCGGGGCTGCTGCTGTAAAGCGACTGCGCTGGGCCTTCCCAGCCCGCAGCTGTGTCCCTGCATTTCCGAATAAACCAGGGCAGCTCAAGGCTGCCTACGGCTGCTATTCTGTTTCCTGTCATTGATGTGATCTGGTTCTGTATCCTCCAGTGGCACCGAGGAAGGAAAGGAGGACGGGGCATCTTCCGCAGCCTGAGGGTGAGGCACAGGGACAGCTTTAGCTGCTGTAATGTGCTGTGAAAGTACCAGTGAGCCTGCTGGCCGTGCTCACTTGGAATCCCAGTGCTCTGGAGGCTGGGGCAGGAGGATCGCAAGTTCAAGTCCGGTCAGGGCAATTTAGTGAGCCCTTGTTTCCGGATAGAAGGGCTAGGGGAGGTGCCAAGGCCCTGGGTCAGCATCCTCCCACCCCCCACAAAAGGAAACAAAAACTACCAGTGAGGTTGGTGGTCATGGTTCTGTTTGTAAGACAGTCACTCTGGTGGCCAGGGTCCCTGGAGGAATTGCAGACCTCCCACAGCTGCCCAGCACCCACCTTCCCTTCCCCGAGCAAGGTGCCCAGCCCTCCTGGCACCCATGCAGCTCCTGTGGATGGGTGACGTGCACAAGGAGACAACTCGGCCCTGGCCACAACTGGAGCCTGGTCCTGGCCGCACCAGCCAGATGGGGCCCCTGTGGGCTGCTGCGGCTCTGTCTGCTGGTGAGGTGGAGCGGGGACACTGAGCTGGAGTGCTGGCAGCCATCTCATTACTGTGCGGAAGCAGCTCCCGGCCCAGAGGCTGAGGCAGCCGCTAGCTGTGTAACTGCGCCTTTTGGTGAACAGTGTGAAAGACATGAAGATGGCGTGAGGGCCAAGGTGCAGGACCACACGGTGGGGGTCTGACACCTGTGGTAGCACGAGGGAACTTCCATCCCGTCAGCACTGCTGGTCTGTGTCCTCACACAGCTAGTGTAGATGGGGAGGGAGGGGAGGGAGGGGAGAACAAGCCTAAAAATTCATCCTAGGAAGAAGGGTGAAGAGGCAGTGACAGGGGACCCCCCCCATAAGGGACCAGATCTGCAGAAATAAGAGTGGAATGACAGGAACATCAAGCGCCCCTGAGGCTGGTGCCCCGGGGTTGGGGGGAGCTGGGCAGGGGGTGCTGCAAGAGCTGGGAGGTCACCCCAGGACGCACCCCCAGGCCCTGAAGAGCCTCCCTTTTGGAGCTGCCAAGGTGAGGTCATGGTTGTGTTTGTAAGAGTCACTGTGGTGGCCAGGGTCCCTGGAGGAATTGCAGACCTCCCACAGCTGCCCAGCACCCACCTTCCCTTCCCCGAGCAAGGTGCCCAGCCCTCCTGGGCAGGTTGGGGCTCAGGTAGATGGATCTGTGTCCACTGTGCCCTTGGGGTGAGGAGCAGAGGACAGGCCCTGGGACTGGAGGTTGGTGGGAAGGATTTCTTCCCAGCAGGGACCACCTGGGTTGGGCCGGTCTTTTGCAGCTCCAGAGTAGTTGGGTCTATACAGTCACTGTGGACCTTGGTGAGGGAAGTTCGGTCTAAGAGAAATTGCCAGTGGAGCCCAAATGGGGGAGATCGCTTCCCCAGAGGCAGAGCAGGGGTTCTGGGAGCCATTTTAGCCAGTCCTGGGGCTTCCTGGCCACTCTGGAATTTCTGGCTTTGGCCAGTGGTGAGGGGGGGCCAGCACAGTGGAGTCCTGGCTTGCATGGGGACTTGGCCTTGGGGTGCAGGGTGGGTCCTGCCTCTTCCTAAGCATGGGGCTCCCTGAAGTCGAGGGCTGTTTGCCAGGTTTATTACTTCTGTGGTTTTGACTTTTTTGACAAAAAAATAATTCACCTTGCAGACCATGGCTGGGAAGTACAGGCTGGGCCAGGTAGAGGGGGCGGTGGGCTTCTGGACCCAGTCTCAGGCCAGTTCTGCCACCGTGGTCACATGAAGACTCTTACAGAACACATGGCTCTGGGGACAGCCACACTTCTGGGGGCTCTGCTGCCCAGTTGCTGCAGCTCCCAGGCGGGGCTGCACACCCCATGGAGCAGGCGGGCTTGTTTCTTTTCACACTTTCCACAGGCAGCATCCTGCGAGGCCACACCACACTGTCGGGCCCCTTGCCTTCACTCACAGTGACCCACAAAGCGTGTTCCCTCCGGGACAGGGGCGACATCTGCGAGCTGTGCCCTCAACTGCAGCCAGCCAGCTCCCTACAAAGTGACCATTGTTTCAGCCATGGAGGAGGGAGAGAAACCTGGTCTCGAGCTCACAATCCCATTTGTCCTGTGCCACAGGACTGTCATAAAACCAGAGGCTGCAATCACCAGGGAAGGGCTCTTCTCAGGCCCACACAGGTGATGTGGGGGCGCCTGGTCAGCTGTCCACCTGCCTAGCTTTTCTCTGAGGAAGGAGGAGAACATCAACCTCTCCCCAAACGGACGCTGCAGAGTGAGCTGGCCATCCTGAGAAAATGCCCACATTTGTCCATCCCGGGGGCAGTAGCTGGAGGTGGCCCCCTTCCAGGGCTTCTCTTTGAGACCGAGGCACCCTGGCCAGCATGGAGGAAGGCTTAGCTCTGGGGAGAAGGATGGCCTCATTGCTACCACTGCCACTGTCACCACCGTCACCCCCAACTCCCCTGACATCATCATCATCATCGCCACTCCCACCGACCACATCACCCTCACTTCCTGCAGCTCGTAGGGGCCCAGCAAGTCCTGAGCAGCAGGCTCCCAGAGAAGACACCTTGTTCCTGCGGGCCACCTGCCTGCGGGCCTATTCTGCTTAGCTTTCTGTGCAGAGTGCCAGTTGGCGGTCCCTGGCTCTGCAGAACCGTAGATTAAAATTAACACTAGAAAGCTAGTGGCCTTTAAGAGTGGAAAGGGACAGCGGTGGCATTGGAGGACCCTCCTTGCAGTGGCTGTCTCCGAGGCCATGCCTCCCTGGCCGCGTTTGCCTGCTAGGTCAGGACACCACACCATGTGCCTGGCTCAGGCTGTCCTTGGCCCAGAGGATGCTGTTCCCTGAGCGTACCGCCCACAAAACGGTGTTTCCGAGCCCAGGAGCCATCCCCCACCCTTGTCTGTCCTCTGGCGCCTGAGCGCAGCATGACTCCTCCACTGCTGCCCGTGCTGGGTGACCAGTGCCTGTTCGGCAGACCCTGCTGGACGAGGCAGGGCAGAGCGCGGTGATGGCGACCCCAGCGTCCTCCCTGCACTCTGCTGGGCTGCAGCAGTCAGTCAGTACAGGAGTAAAACACGGTGTTCTCAGGCAGGGGGTGAGGTCACTGTTCTACCACTTGGCCACGCTTGCACATGCTTACCTGGGAACAGCAGCCACTCGGGCACCTACGCCAGACCCAATTATCTCGGGGTGGCGGCTGCTAGGACTGTGTCATTAGTCCAGAAGGCATCAGCTTCAGTGCCACTTGGGCTGCAAAAGCACTTTTCAGAAATGTAATTATACAACAAATAAGTCAGTACCTGCTGCTAGGAAGACTCAGACAATGCAGGCATAGGCGGAGTGAGACTCAGGAAGCCTCTTCCCGGCCCTTCCCGGTCCCTCATCCTGCCAGGACAGCAGACTCGGATCTCAATTCGTTTCTTTTCCACACATTTTCAAACATGTCATGGTTCAAACCCACACCTACCCACGTGATACTGTTTTGTGCATACACAGATCGTACTTGATAATTTCCTTTTTTTTCTTTCTTTTTCTGCAAAGCTTTATTCCGGAGGGGCCCAGTCCTTCTAGGCACCTGCCTTCCTCATGGCGGCCAGCACGTTGCTCGGCTCCTCACACTTCTTCTTGGCGTGGATGTGCGTCCCCACCCTTTTCTTGATGAATTGGAGGGGCGTTTGTCCTTGGAGACCTTGAGGAGCTCTGTGGCGCACTGATCATGGGGGGGAAGCCGCACACACCCCTCCCCCCGCCCCCCGATCTTGTAGGGCATGAACTTGGTGTGTTTGGTGAGGTGTCCAGGACGTGGCTACTGTTCTTCAGTGGTTGCTGTAGCGGGAGAACCAGCACCATGGGGAACTGTGGGAAATCACAACAGTTATTTTTATACAAATAAAGAGTGCTGGTGCTGCGTATATTCTCTTGCAAATTGGATTTTTGTTGAAACTTAGCCATGTCTTAGAAATCTGCCTATGTTGGGTGGATTTTGTTTATATAATAGGTGAACAAGAATCCACAGCACAGCTGTATGCTGATGTAGTTAATTAACCATTTCTCCACTAATGATATCCTCCCAATTAATAAAAAAGTAACCAGGTGAGGTTACTTTGTAACCGGTGTGTGCTTGTGGGCCCAGCCAATCAGGAGGCTGAGACGGGAAGACTGCGTAAGCCCTGGAGTTCCAGGCCAGACTGAGCAACATAGCAAGATCTTATCTCCTTAAACAAAATGTGCCAGGCCCTGGGTTCAAAGCTCTGTAAAAGAGAAAGAAGAGAAAAAAGAAATGAAGTAAATAAATTCATTTTTTAAAAAATGTATTTAGTACAGGGTCTCGCTACACAAATTGGACTCATAGTGATCTTCCTGTTTTCAACCTCTCAAGTGCTGGGATTACAGGTTTATGCCACCACACCCAGTCTCAATCCCGTCTCAGCGTACCCTGCGGGCAGGGCTGGCAGGGCAAGATGGGGATCAAACCCGCAGCCCCTGCGTCTGCCTAAGCAGGTGCTTTAATCTAGACGCTGAGCTATCTGGCCAGGCCTTGAATTCATTTTTATTGTGCTAAAAACACCCAACTCAGAATTTGCCATCCTAGCCATTCTGAAGTGTGCATTTGTGCAGGCTCACCAGACGCCTGCCTGGGCTGTACCCGTTGCTGCCCTCCCTGTTCCACTGTGCCCCACAGGGTGACGCTGGAACTCTGTCCCCACGATGCGCCACTGTCCCCTCCTCCAGCCACCAGCAATACCACCCTGCTGTCTTCCTCTGATTCAACCCCCGCACCTGGATCCTGAGGCTTTGTGTGTGGTGTCCTGGTGTCTGAGCGCCCCCATCCTGCAGTCCTCCCTCCGCCCCGACTTGCGGTTCCCCAGTGACTCATGGGCGGGGCTTATTTGTATCTCTTCATGGAGCAGCAGCTGCTCTAGTCCTTTGTCCATTTCA